ACAAATCCGTGAATACAAATGTATTACTATCCACGCTTTTCAAGTTGGTAAATAGAGGCTGACAGAGTATAGGTGAGTCATATTAAAATAGTATACATCATCAATTTCTCCATTGCAAGAACTAGAGTGGTAAGATCAGACTCCAAGATAGAATCCTAATGAAATAGTTACTCAGAACTGTATATGTGCATAATTATATGAACAGAGATCAAGGGTTTAAAGCGCCCCAAGTTCAGCCCCAGTCCTTTACAGAACTGCTGCTATGATCTGACTGCCCAAAATTTGTAGGTTGAAATGTCATGCCTAAGGTGAAAGAATTATTAAGGGAGCCCTTTGGAGATATCATTAGATTACAAAGTGAAGCCAGCATGTATGGAATTCATTTCTTTATATAAGAAAGCCCCAGAGCACTCCTGCACAGCCTGTATTGTGAAGACAAGGAAACAAGGTGGCATCTGACAAACATGAGTCTTCGCCGCCCACATGATCTGCAAATGCTTTGCTCTTAGGTATTGCTTCCAGTAGTATGAGGCATAAATTTCTGTTATTCCAAAAAGTTCATCATGTCTTAGTCCAAGCAGATAAGATACCAACTTTCCACTCATCTTTTTTCTTCACCCAAGGCAATTATATCAGGAACACAAGTTTTTCTCTTTCTGGGTTACACTATCATAAAACTAAGCTAAGAAATTATTGCTACATTTGCTCAATAGTTGTATTTTGTTAAATAATATGAAATTTATTCTTAATGAACATCAAAATATTTATTGGGAAAATCATTTCTTGCTGGTGGTTGAGTATTTTTATACATGAAAACATGATTATTATTATAAACCATAATAACTCAAAACTATTTACAAATAGCCATATTATATTTTAGTATATCTTATATGTACATAAAATTCAAAATATTAAGTTGTGAAGTTCACTCTTGTAGCTCAAAAGACCACTTTCTGAACATGGATAGAATACTTATAGGAAGTACAGGTAGCTTTCATTGGAAAGAAACTCTAGCTATCTGAGAAAACAGGCAAACAAAAAAAAAATCCTATTAGCTGGGAGTCTACAAAGAACACTATAAAATGGCAATTGTTAGCAAAGAAATATAGTGATGCATAATGAATCACAAGGAATCAATAAAATGATATTCCCGGAATTATGACTCTCTTAGGTTGTATAAATGCCTGTTAGCCAGGTGTTTTGTGAAAGACAGTAAGAACTGTAAAAAGAAATACTGCAGACATACTTGATTTCAAGAAACAATGCTATAAAAGTGATAGAGGCCAACGTAGCAATATCCCTACAGTCCCTGAGAATGATAGAGTTTAAAGGACGCTCTGCAAACCTCAGACTTTATGGTAGGTATTTGGATTGAACCCTCAGAACTGAAAATACAGTAATCTATGGCCTCTTAGCTATATTCTGGAAGCTTATCACAACTTAACAGAAAGTGAGATGAAGCCTGTCAGGAGGAAAATATGGAGCATTTTAGTGGCAAATCCACTAAGACTAGACTGCATACAATTATTTGATAAATTTAAAATAGACCAGATTGTCAGAATTATTTCCCAGCAAAGGCATCTCAGAATGACACAGAATTGATGTGCTGCAGAAAGAGCTGATAAGGAAATGAACTGCAGCCAACACTAATCAAATTCCAGACTCTAATAGCCCAAGGGAGTTGAAGCTCTTCCAGCCAGGGGCGCAGACTGCAGCCAGTTCCATCAGAACCACTATAACAATGTACTTACATAAGAAAGCATGTCTATACTCAGTTATCACACGCATAAATGATAAACTCCAAACTTCTCTCCTTCAGCAGCCCTTTTGAAACATCCATAGCAGGTTTGAAATTGAGGGCTAACCCAACCTTATACTATAAAACATTCAGAGTACTGAGGAGGTACTATCTTGCTCTTGTTATTTGGAAATTTGAGCAATTTTATTTATGTCCCTCATTGTCTCTATTAGGATAAACCAGAGTACATTGGGGCTGTTTTCATGGAGTAGACTGCTCAGGAGACCCTGAGGTAAGTGTTTATTTTTGAGCACTGCATTTTAAGGAGATGCTTCCAGCAAAATCTTGTAAAGAAGTGGTGGAAGCAGGAACTAGGACTGACTACGAAGCAAGGGTGTCACCTCAGACAAAGTTCTGCCCAGGGCAGCTCTGGCCTGATCCCATGGGCAACTCTGCAATCTAAGCTACTTGTGATTTGTTCTTACTGGTTTAAGCACAACCCAGTACTCAGGCATCGGCTTGGTCACTGGCTTAAAGCTTCTCCAAGAAGATATAAACTCTGAGGCACTTTTAGCCATCTGTATTTTAGGGCAAACAGGCTCCAGTGGCCCTGCTGCCCTATTCTGGAAGAGCTGTAAGTGTTGGCTGTCAGAAGATAAATGACAACAAGGGGCAGAGCATCAAAAGTAGGGTTCGGATGGAAACAGCTTAAGGTTAAATATCACTTTTCACTCTCAGTATCATCTCTTAAGAATGATTTAGAGCATAGCTAATTATAGTACTTTGCTATCATTTATTAATAATGTATTGACTCAAGGATAAGAAGGGTAGAAAGTGAAAGCCCAGAGAGGAAGTAGCAGTGTGCAGCACCCTCCCAGCAGACAGTAGGTGGAGGCACAAAGGGTTTCACAGACAGGGGCACATGGCATTGCGTCAAACTAAATCTTTCTTCATAGAAAAGGGAGCAGAAGAGCTGACAGTCCACAGGATGGGAGAAGGCATTTGCAAATCCCCCAAGGGATTCATTTCCACAATATACTTTGTGAGGATCTCAAACAACAGCACAGGTCCCTTCCCAAATAACCAATATAATGTGAATAAATGACCTGAAAACAAATTTCTCAATAAAGGATATAGAAATGGCCAGATAATAAGTGACCGAAAAAAAAAAAAAGAACAGAAAAATCATGAGGGCAATATAAATCAAAAAGCATAAAGAAATATCATCTCACGTGGCTGGCTCTTTTCGAAAAGATTTTAAAAAATAGTAAATTATAAAAAAAAATTATTGTTGCTTGTTACCCTGTTTCTGTCTTTGTTTCTGATTTTTTTTGTACTTGCTTTTGCTTTTACTCTTCAAAATAAAGTGAAATTAAATTTAAAAGAAATCCTGGCAAGGACATGGAAAAAGGGAAACAAAGGCACAGTGTTGGTGGGAAGGTAAATTCGTGGAGCCATTATGGAAAACATTTTGAAATTTCTTCACAAAGCTAGAAAGTGATTTAATACACAATCCAGCAATCCCACTACCAGTTATATTGTCAAAGGAATTGAAATAGGTGTGCTGACGCTGATAGCACATTCACTAGTGCATTTATCACGGCTCTAGAGCCAAGAGCTCAGAATGAAAGCAACCTTAAGAGTGCATTAACTGATAAAAGGATTGAAAAGATGTGGTACAAAGACAGAACACTTTTAATGATAAAGAAGAATGAAAACAATCTAAATGGACCTGGAGAATATTATGTTAAGTGAAATAAGTCAGGAAGAGAAAGATAGATCCCACTTGTTATCACTTATGTGTCAAAGCTAATGTTGCTCTCAAGTAGAGAATGCCTCTGCAATTACCAGAGACGCTCGAAGTGGTGGCCATTAACTTGTAGACATTTGTTAGTACAGCAAATTGCTTAAGTGTGTATATATTTTTGGTGGACTCTGGACATGTAGAAATATACTTAAATCTAGAAAGCTGAAAAACAGATTGGAAACCTAGAGAAAATAGTGCACTTCAGCACTTATCTATCTCCTATAAGATAAGCAATAGATCCCACGGTGTGATGACCACTCAGCAATGCTGATGTTACTCACCAGTTCCGATAACTACTCGACTTCTTTGCCTAAAATAAATCATGTCTGAGAGAAGAGGGTTTCACTCTCTTAGTACCTCCTATAGAAGAATTCGGATGGAGGTAAACCATGCTACTGCAGGCTGTAGGCTGTCCAAAGAACCCCCAGCCTCTACTTTTATGAAGAGTGGGTATCACTCAGAGGGAGACATACTAGGCTGTGATGGGCGTGTGGCCTCAAAAGTCCAAGAGTCACCAAAATTGCTTAAGGAAACAATCTGGGAAAAGCGTAGGGAGAAAAAGGGAAAACCTCAAAATATAAATGTAAAAGACATTATGACGTCATTGATAAAGAAGTTTTAAAATCCCTAAAGTTTGTAGCAGCCTCAGCAAATGAATTGTATACAAGTACAAGTATATGAGAATAATTTTGAGCAGAAACTATATAAAGAAGTTCTTCATGTAGTGGGTTTAAGTAACTTAAATACATACATAAATATGAAGGGTGATAAAATTGAATTTAAGTAAATATGAAGGGTCATAAAATTGGATTTAAGTAATTTGTCTCTCTCCGTCTCTCTGTGTCTCTGCCTCTGCCTCTGTCTGTCTGTCTGTCTCTGTCTGTCTGTCTCTGTCTCTGTCTCT